GATGTTCTTAACGTGTGTTTAAACAAGGCCGTTAGTGCGTGTTTACATACAGTGTCAGAGAAAGGCCATTAGAGCGTCTTGAAGTCACGGTATCTAGGAGAAGGCCGTAGTGCGTCTGTTAGATACACCTATCATGGATAAACGAAGGCCCTGAGTGTGCCGTTTATTCACAACCCAACCACTGAATAGAGTAAAGACACGATCCGTCATCATTGGTGCTTTCATTGAGAGGTGCTGATCGTGTTCTTTATCTATCTATCTTTTTTATTTTTTCGGTTTTACCTTTTGTGAGGGGCCGAATTTCTTTTAGTCCTTTGTTTGATTTTTGTTCGGTTATTACCTTTTGTGAGGGGCCGAATTTCTCTTTGTTTTTTGAATTTATTTTTTTGGTTCGATTTTTATTTCGAATTTTTAGAGTAAAAAAAAAGGGGATTTATGATGTCAAACCGTGAGAGGATTCAAGCGTTGGAAGACAACATGAAGATCATCGGCGATGGTCAACATGCTACCAATGATAACTTAGGAAGGATCGAATTAATGGTCCAAGACTTGGCCGGGCAGCTAACGCGCATGAACACGCGGCCAAGGAGGCGTCACGGGTCAAGGTCCACAGCGACAAGCACCGGGACCGAGCGCGAGGACGATCGTCGATCGCAGGGCACACGCGCATCGCGCGCAGATCACCACCACGACGACCGACGACGGTATGAAGGACGCGCACACCACGACCGAAGGCGCGAGGAGGACGACGACTGGAGATCACACGCATCGTACGCGTCGCATGCGATGCATGATGAGCGGAGGCCACACCGCGATGGCCGACGGCGCGACGCACGGCGACACGAGGGACGCCACGATCGTGATGAACAAGTGGACGAGAGGGCAAGTACACTGACAAAAATAGCCATGCCCACGTTCACGGGGACATATTCAGATGCGTGGTTGAGTCGAGCTGTGCAATTTTTTAAGATCAATGATGTGCCAAGGTACGGAAGAGTGCAAATTGTTGCTTATCATCTTGATGGAGAAGCAAACGTATGGTGGCAATGGGTGATGCACAAGAACCATGGGGAGCACATGCGTTGGAGGGATTTCGGAAAAGAGCTCGTCACAAGGTTCGGCTCAAGTGACTACCACGATTACAATGAAGCCTTGTCGCGAATCAAGCAAGTCGGAAGTCTGAGGGAGTATCAAAAGGAGTTCGAGCGCATTGCTAGTAGAGTGAGGGATTGGCCTGAGAGTGCGATAGTAGGGACTTTCGTGGGAGGGCTTAAAGCTGAACTAGCAGCCTAGGTGAGGTTGGACAGGCCAGGATCGATGCGAGCAGCTATAGAGTCGGCCAGACTGCACGAAGATCATCTCATGGCAGTACGCAAGGCGAAGCCGAGCGACGTGGGCACGGAGACCAAGCGCACGAACGCTGCGACTGAGGAGCTAACGGCACGAACCGAAAGCAAGCCGTTGGGCGAGGCTGTTCGAACGACAAGCAACATATGGCGGCTTATTGATGAAGAGATGCAGCGACAACGAGAAAAAGGCCTTTGCTATTCGTGCAATGAAAAGTTCACGCCAGGCCACAAGTGCAAGTGTAAGGAAGTATTTTTGTTGGAAATTGGTGATAATTGCGAAGAAGAAGAACCACGAGAGGAGTACTTGTTGCATATGGTCAAAAGCAAGAAACGTGGTCCGAAGATGATCACATTCACGGCTGAAGTGAGAGGAAAATTG